CCCCTACCCCCATCCTCATCTAGCCCCTACCCACCACACCCCACCCCACCCCACATCCACACACCCAACCTCACCCACACCCATACCCATTTTAACTTTGATTCAGATACTTTTTTCCCACCTGCTATAACATTTAAAAATACTTTTGTGTTTACCAATTACTGCACACATAATTAAACAAAGCCTTAGCTTCACATTGTGTTTACCAATCGCACACAATTACAAAGCAAGACCCAAAGTCTCAAGGCTATAATAAATTTATATTAAGAAATGGCTAATACAATAGAATTTTGTACTAGAAATCACCTTTTTCGATCTCCCATTTCAAACATTCCTGTTTGGGAGCTTATGTAACTAAATAAACACTTTTTTTTTTTTTTTTTTTTTATAAAAGCGCTTATTAGCTTATGCAGTGATGATAATGAATTTTTTTTAACAATGTATGGATTAGCTTATATGATGACATAAGTTGATAAACTTTTTTTTACATGTTTAGATTAACTTATAGTCATTTTATAATCATTTTAAGTGAACAAGTTATAAACACTTTTCAAAAGTCAGGAGTGTGACTTTTTAAAAAACTCTTTTTTGGGCTAGTAAAAAGTTGTTTTCAAAAACATTTTTCTATTTCCAAACACTTTTTTAAGCTTATTGACCTTTTAAAAAACTTATAAGTCAATAACCACTTCTCGAACTCAATCCAAAACACCCCTAACTGTTAAAATCTCTATGGTCGGTAAGTTTCATAATTTGTAAAATTTACATGTTTCTGCAATATATCAATGATCAGATTTATGCAAATGGGTGTTGGTGATTTTGATCATTAGGCGGTGGGTTTGTTCCATAATTTGTTAATTTTAAGTTATGAGTTAGCGTCCCAGTGTTGGAGAAGAGAATTAAGTTTCCTCTTTGACTAGATATCTTGAATTTTTTGTACTCTGCTTCCAAAAGTTGTAATGGGTGCTTTTGAGTTCAAACTAACTACACGTTTGTGTTTACCGTTCTGATTGTGTTTTTCTATCGCGAACTTTGGCTCCATGTAGCAAATTAGGAAATTATATGCCATCAAACTTTTTAGCATTCTTTATTTGAAAACCCTTATATTTTGGCTTCGTGGAAAGAAAAAGGAACCGTAATTTCCGATTCTAACCAGCATGACTAGTGATTTACTAACCTTCCAAACTTCTACTTAGTTTCAGAATCCTTTTTTTCCCTCTTAGTGGCAGGGTAATATTAAAACGAATGTCACAATCACCGCCAAATCGATGGATGTATGGGTTTGTTGAATGATTACTTGGACAACGTTGAAAGGATCACTTTTACCACCGGTTGAAGATTCGAGTATATCATCTCCAACAACCGAAGTAGATGATGGTTATTGAAGAGTTATCGGATTAGATAAACTCCGATTTTATGAAGAAGATCAATTTCACGTACAAAAATTAATTGTATTTTCAAGTTCTATGTTCATGTTCATGTACTTTTTACATTGTTTTTTTAAATTTGTAGTTTAAAGCCAAGTATAATACACATATTTATTTGGTTGGAGTTAAATTTGAGATTTAAAAAAAAAACGGATTTAAATAGAATTATCCGACACCGGATTTTGAAAAAATAAGATTATCCGAATTCATATTCGTTTACACCATATTTTCACCGATCCAAATGGAATTTTAAAATGAGCGGTTTCGGTTCTATCCAACTTTTGTGCAGCTATAGGTTGAACAAGGTCTTAAGTTTTTTTTTTTTTTTGATCGGCAAACTAATCTACCCATAATTACTACTTATGTATGAGGACAAGACTTGAACCATGACCTCCTCTTAATTGACAAGGTTAAGTGCATGAAATGATTCCACTCTTAAATAGTTCCTAACCATGTTTATATTTAATAAATAATTTGGTTGTATAGGATTCAATTGCGAAACTGTATTTTTATGCCATTTTAACCGGATTCATTGAATTTATCTTTAGTAGTACGTATACAGTACTCATTATGTCATTATGATTATTTAAGCCAAAATATTACATTATTGTGGTAACATAAAAGGTCTTTATTGGAAGAATATAGAAAATTTGATTTAATCTTTTCGTAGTTATTGATCATAATTAAACCAGTAGATAATCTATCGAGTATTGGGTAAAGTACAGAATTATTTAATATTTTGGGTTACTTAACAGTCATTCTGTACGTTACTCAGCGACACTTCGCCTAGCACGTTATTATATAGACACACACTCATCCATCCGGCTTCCAATACAATTCCAGCGAGCCATTTTCAAGCTTCCTATATATATAATTTCCTGTTCGAAAGCAAATCGTGTAAATATTTTGCTGTAAGGTTCGTTCTCTTTGTTTTTTTGTATGTTTGATTCATGCTTTAATTTCAATATTAAGAAGTTCAGTTCCATAATCTTTTTCTTTGTAGATATTCTAATTTGTACGATGGAGGGATGTTCGTCCGAGGGCGTTTTGGAGTGTACTTCTCCTCTAACACTTTTCTTGGTTGGAAGGACAGGAAACGGGAAAAGTGCAACCGGAAATAGCATTCTAGGGACAAATGGTTTTGAATCAAGGCGTAGTTCTTCAAGTGTAACAAGTGTTTCTGAGCTGAGGAAAGCTGTACTTGCAGATGGCCGAGTGATTGATACTCCTGGTATCTGCAAGACTTCAATAGTATTATTTCAATTCTAATAGTTTTGTAGGAGATGCATATATTTCTTACACTGATTTATATCTTGCAGGACTGTTTGATTCTTCTGTTGATTCTGAAATTATTTCCAAGGAGTTTGTCGGTTGCATTGATAGTGGCATGGATGGTATTCATGCTGTTCTGGTTGTGTTTTCAGTTTGTTGTCGGTTTTCAGAAGAAGAAAAAGCTGTAAAAAGTAGCTTGCTGGCTTTGTTTGGAAGGGAGGTGTACAATTACATCATCATCGTTTTCACTGGTGGTGATGAACTGGAGAATGATGGCAAAAATTTGGACGATTTCTTATGTGACTCTCCAGAAGCATTGAAGGTTAGTAGACAATAAATTGTGTTAGCTTCGCTTTTGTATCTTGTAGACTTAGTTGGTGAATTGATGGTAATTGTTTAATTAATGAAAGTCAATTCTTGTTATATACAGGAACTCCTTTCTTTATATGAAGGTCGGTGTGTTCTGTTTGATAACAGGACAAAGAATCCAACCAAGAGAGCTAATCAAGTACAACAGCTTCTTTCTCTTGTAAAAATTGTGTTAGAAAAGAATGGTGGTCAGCCCTTTCGTAATGAAATGTTTTCTGAAGTTAAGGTGAAGCTTGTTAGTTTTCATTAATTTCTATGATTTTAGCATTATAGACATACATATGCAGGATTTACATTTGCTCTACATATAATGTTGGTGATTTTAGTGTCACCATGTCATTTTAAGTAACTGGAACTAACATGTGAGCTAAGGGGCTTCATGATTTGTACTCTAATATATGTACGGAGTTGTGCGGAGTGCACACATGTATAAGATCGAATCAGAAGCCAGTTCGACGACTAGTCGGGGGTCTGGGGGCAGCGCCCCCGGGTCCGGGGTTTCCAAAGGCGCAGCGCCCCTTTGGCGGGGTCTAGGGGCAGCGCCCCTAGCGGGGTCCAAGGGGCAGAGCCCCTGGCTGGGGTCCCGCTGTTATCAAAAGTGGGAACATAATGGAAAATTCAATTTCTTGAGGGTGGTTATGGTAAAACTAACGAAACTCTTTAGTTTTGGTAATCCTAATCCGGATTAATATTACTTGCTTCTAAAGCAACTAATGACGACCCAACCCTAATGAAACCCTAATCTTGTTTATTATATAAACGACTCTTCCTTTCCAGAAGGGGTGACGTTCTTTAGCTTTTGTTTTTCATCACACATTCACAGAATACTTTAGAATATTGGCTTACGTTTTCTGTGCCTAGAAACGTAAGTGTCCACTTGGATTATCCTAGGCTGAATTTCTTGTAACCCAGACATAGGGTAGAAATATCAGTTCGGAAAGTGATATCACGATCCAAGTTGGTATCCAGATCTCCACCACAAACCCTAATATTCCCAACATATAATACTAACTTGACAGAAAAGTACTATGGAACTTCAACAACAAACTGAAGAGTTACAAGCCTTGAATGTCACCAAAAAGTTAAATGACCAGGAGGTTTCATTGTTGCGTGATGAGCATTTTAAGCAAATAACTGAGATGGTATACTATTGGTTGATTAGGTTTCACTATTTTCCTCAATTGACGTAGATATATGAACAAGATTTGGAAAATGGTGAGTTTTTTTTCGTCGTACAGCTGTTATCAAAAGTTGAACATCTATTGGAAGAAGAGCGGGCTCTTCGGGTTAAGGCCCAAGAGATTGCAAAAGCTGAACAAAAGAAGTCAGAGGAGGAGATAGAAAAGATGAGAGAAGTGCTAGAGAGACTTGAGTTTACTGAGGTACAAGAGAAACAAATGGAGGAGAAGGAGCCGAAACAAGAAAAGAAAGAGGAGAGGAAACCAAAGATGAAAAAGAAACCAAAGATGAAAAGGTTGAGTGAACTGCTTGAGACACTGGAGCCTACTGAAGTGCAAAAGATAGAAAGCGAGCAGCAGGAGCTGAAACCAATAATGGAAAAGTTGAGTGAAGTGCTAAAGCGATTGGAGCTTACAGATGTGCAAGAGAAACAAATAGAGCAGCAGGAGTCGAAACAAGGAAAGAAAGAGGAGACGAAACCAAAGACGGAAAAAGAAACAAAAGATGAAAAAGTTGAGTGAACTGCTAGAGAGAATGGAGCCTATTAAGGTGCATAATAAACAAATAGAGGAGCAGGAGCCGAAACAACGAAAGGAAGAGGAGAGGAAACAAAGTGATACGCGCGCCATAGACTCCGTGAATCAAAAATCATCTCGTACAAGGAAACCAAATCAAGATCCCTCATTTATCTATTAGGGTATCCACAATGCTTATTAGAGTTTAATGGATTGACCATCATCATTTTACAATTCTATATTAATTTTCTTACAATGTTTTGAATTCTACAAAGTTCAATGAAATATATTATTAATAATTAAAAGGTTTTTATTTTCCATTGAAGAGTTTAATGGTCATTAAGTTTCATATCCACTGGATGTCAACATGACATCCCACAATGATAACATTTAATCCAATGAATGTCAATTAGACATATCACCACTTTCAATTATGGATGCTCTAGATAGGAATCAATCAAATCAAAGATGTATGCATAAATATAAGATTTCCTCCTTAAACTTTTAGTTTCTTTGATTCCTTTACCTTATTATTTTTGGTATATTTCTAGCCTTCCTCACCTATTAGTACTGTGTTTTTATGTTCTAAAAGGTTGGACCGTAAGAACTTTGCTTGTTTTTTTTTTCCGTATATTAGACTTTGTACTTTGAAATGTACTTTTGTGACATAGTAACATATCAATTGCTTCTTTAAGGGTGTTGTTAAAAACCAAATCCAACTGATTTGCCCATAAATGATTAGCGTCGTAATTTGCCAATTTACTTGTCACATTGATGTAAAACTTTTATTGTTAAATTTAAAAGCTTTTAGTCATGTATGATCCATTTTATAGAATCAGCATCAAGGAGGTTTTTCAATTGTCATAGATGATTAGTGGTAATGTTTTGTTTCTAGTTGAGTGGTGGTAACGGTATAGTTCAAACTACAAAACATACACCGTCTTGAAAGTGTTGGTGCAAGCATCATAACTTATTATTGGTTGATGGATGATTCCCACCGTTATGATGATCTTCTATCTTAACAAACTAGTATCAACTGTTTTTGTAGGTCCTTCGAGTTTAAGATGCGAACAAGTTTATGGTTTGTTGTTGAAGTAGGTTTGATATAAGATGTCTTTGTAGGTAATGCATTGGTTGCAATGTATGGGAAATTTGGATGTGTTGATGATGCAGTCAAGGTATTCCATCACATTCCTTAAAGAAACTTGGTCACTCAACGCATCAATTTATAGGTTTCAGACAAAGAAATACCTAAAAAATCAATATAATCATGGGGTTCTTTATTTGAAAAATAGTTTGGACATCTGATGTTGCTATCATAGTAACTTTGCTACTCTTTGGTTGCCAAAAGAATTTAATTTGTTCATATCTATTCAAAAAGAGGATGGAGAGAAAAAGACAAAGAAAGGTGTTTGTGGGGCCATATTATTTTTTTATTAAATAAAATGTATAAGCAATAAAGAAAGAAAAAAAAATCAAAATGGAAATAGTTCTTTCAACTCTTAAAATGACCAAATTTAAAACGAAACCTTTAGACTATTTTTATAAATTAATTTTTTTTTGACCTTAATCAAATAAAAATATAAACTATATGGACCATTGTACTTTTAGTTATTTTAAAAAAGTGATTTATCTATATTACTATTAAATTAAAGAAAAATAGAATAATATCATTTAATCAAAAGAAAAGTAAGATTGTAAATTTGTATTTCCTTTAAACTAGAAAGGTTACCCTCACTATGCGGGGGCCAGAAGCTTTCAATGTTGTTTGCGAATCGATAAATATGACAGACGTAGAAAGTGCAAGGATGAAAAGCCCGGACTTTGCCCCGAACCGTTTTTTCATGTTTTTATGAAAAAATGTAAAAGTTTTGACTGCAAGGACCAGAAGTGTCAAAATGGCTAAAGAATTAAAG